GCTCGTTAACGAGTCGAGTTCGAGCCGGCTCACGATCCGGCTCGGCTCACTTACACCCCTAAGCCCAACACATGCATAAATAGCAAATTTGGGCAGCTTTGTATCAAGGGCTTCTCTACACGAAGGGACTCTTAGTGCATTAGTAACTTGTTGGACCATCCAAGGGTGTCGGCATGAAACCCTTTTTGGAATTATAAACTATGTCAACTAACATGGACCTTAGTATGGAAATGATGAATTGTTTAGAGTTCAACAACAAATTTAAGCTCACTATCTTGTATTGCAACCGAACAAACTCAAAAATTACTAATTATCAATAAATCAACCTAAAATATCTTTGCTTATATATCTTGAACTTAAATAGAAAAAAAAAATCCTCATTGGGAGTGTGAACTTTGAGAGAGAGAGAGAGAGAGAGAGAGAGAGAGAGAGAGAAAGAGATCATGCCTACATCACAAAGCATTACGAATAAGAAACGTGTAAGTTCAAGATAACACAATCCAATAAATCAAATCTTCTAGCATTAGCATGATCACAATTGTAATTCTCTCATAAGCAAACATTCATGTGGATAGGTATCTGATAAGCGATGCAGGCATAAATTTCAAAACATCAACACATGCATAATCGTTCGAACTAAATCAGAGTCCAACCAAAAAAAAGAACTTTGCATAAATGGAGTAGTTACAGGGTTACCTCCTGGATGCAATTGTCTTGGGCATCTTCAAAAAGAGAAGAATAATAAGCCGGGTCATATATGGACCCACCTAGTATATCACTGGAATTAGAGTCCTGTCTTGCTATTGCATTAGATGCAGGATATATATAATCATTTGTCGCATGAAAATCTATTTCTTGATAGCCCAAATTCGCAACTGTTGTAGCCCCCAGTCTATACATCTGAATCCACAGGAACGAGGACAAGAACCTCACTGAAAAACCAATGATTTGCATTGAAAATGCCAGTCTAACAGAAAATATGAAGGATGGCCCATATTTTTCTAAACCAAAGTTCCTGTATAATGCCATTGCAATAAAACTGGGTTATTTCTAGGTGTTCAGTATAATAAAAGCATTTGTTTTTATCTATGTTGTGTTGGTTGTCTTTTATCACACTTTATGTAAGGAGATTTTAGATTACTAGCTCACAGTAGAATGCTGTTTAAAACTAATCAAACCAAGAAGCAAAGCAAAGAGGAAAAACTATTAATGCGGCCTAACTATGATTTCAACATCATTATATGTCATTCATAGTTTGGTTACCTGCATGGCAGTTTCCATCCAAAATTAACTAGGATTATTTCTTTGAAAGCCACATTTCGATTGTAGACTCGTACAAAGATATGGATTATGGAAATGCATGGGGGCTAGGGTTGTGCAAGATTAAAGTAGAAGGGCAAATTAAAAGCAGCATGAGAAATGAAATCCTATATTTCACAAAAAGTTTAAATAAACTTCCTGAATTTATTATAAGTGATTTTTTCCTTTTAACCAAGGAAGAAAAGGTAAATTATATCAAGCAAGTGCAGTCACAAAACACATCCAGGGCTAATTCTGTCAATTTATAGCTGGGAGAACCTAGCAAAACATCAGCAGAGAATGATCCTTCAGCTAAAAGCAGATGCTAACATCGTAGAGAAATACTATCTCACATAAAAATTCTGATTAATTGAAGAAATTATGCCGGACAATCTGTAAGAAGATAATTTAAGCTAACATTGTAATCATCAGTATTATTAAGGGCACTGGGCGGCCTTGCACAATGTGGTAGCCGAATGCTAGATGCGCTACAAGCCAAACTAGGCGCTCACTTGAGTGAAGTAAGGCAATAAATTTTTACCAATTTAAATTATGAGGAATATTATTGTAGAGTATAATTTGATAATCATCACAATAAAATACTAATAGTGAGGAAAAAATTTATTTGCAAATTTTGTCATTCCAAATGCCAAAATGCCAAAACTTTGCAGCTAAGTTACCAAAGAGAACATCACAACAAGGTCCAAAAGTTACATTTTACTTTTAAACAAGAAAATAAAAACATAAGCAGGTAACTTTCATATGGCATATACTACTATTTATTCCATATTCTACATCATCCATATTCTCTTCTACGTCATTAGATTTATAATCCTCCATCTGATAATATAGTTTTGTATGATTTAAAAAATAATTATAAAAATTTGCATGATAGAGTTCGCCCATGAGCACCTAGCACCTTACATGAAAGTGCTCGCCTTGGCATTGTGATACATCGAGGAGGGTTATGAATGCTTTCTAAAACATATTTAATAGTTTAGAAAGGTTTCCTAAATTATTTTTAATTATTAACAAAGTTTTTTTAATTATATTTAATTTGTTTATGAAGGTTTCCTAAATTATATTTAATTTGTTTTAGAAGGTAACCTAAATCATGTAATGTTTCCTAAATCATGACTAATTTGTTTAGGAAAGTTTCCTAAATCATGTTTAATTGTTTAGGAAGGTTTCCTAAATTATATTTAAATTATTTAGGAATATTCTATTTATGTTATTGTGTTCTAGGGCTATTTAAGGGGGAATTATCTAGGGTTTTAGGATCACGCTATGACTGAGTTTTGATTTTGTTGTAGTTATTTTCTTTGAGGGCTTCCTAAAGGCATCAAAGTTAATTGAGAGAGATGATCTACCTCTTGAATTGTAGATCACATGTATCTTGTTTTCTCTTATTGAAGTATTAATACAAAAGCAGCCACCATTTTGATTTTACTGTACTTTTTCTATTTGTTGTTTGTTGTTTTTGCTTCCAATGTGTTTAAAATTGGTATTAGAGCAATTTCTTGGGAACGATGTTCGAGAACAGAGTTGAGTCACTGGAAGAAAGGATGAAGGAGGAAGTAGGGCACCTGCGAACGGATATGGGATCATTGAATGAGCGTCTTTTAGCGATTAAAGGAAGGTTTGGATATCTCGAGAAGTTGATGAAACAGATGTTAAAGAATCAGGCTAAGGCAGCTCTACCGAAACCACGGGGGAATGTTGATTCCACCCTCTTATAGACAATTAGGACGAGACATTTGTTTTAGATTAGCGTATAGTATTTTATGAGTATTCTATGTAGTTGATATTTTTATTTTTCTATGTATAGCCTTTTTGTAGCCCTCAAATCCTATAAATAATGGGTGATGAGGAACAATTTAAAAACTTTAAATCCACAGACTTTTGGCACCTTTCTAGATCTTGTGCTCTACTTCTATTTTCTAGAAGATATTCTGTTAATCTACTCTTCATCTTTTTATTCTCTCTATTCTCTATATTCTCACTGCTCTATCTCCTTTCTTGCTAATAGGTTATCAACTCACAAGACAGATGTGCTAGTAAAGTCAGACATCATCCACCAGAAAAATTCAAATTCAACAACATAAGAATCCCTTCCATGGTGAATCGTCCAAGCACAAAACAAAATTGATTTTTGAATACTAATATAATTTTTAAGTCTATGTTCCATGATCCACTTACAAAATTGTATGACTCGTAAATTTAATATTTTTATAATTATTATAATTCTAAAAATATTGATTATAAATTACTTCTTCGCTGATTATTTGGCATCCTCTTAGTCTTTAAATTTTTATTCACAATATATATTAACAAAACCACCACCATATTACTTGTAACTCTACACGCCTCAATAATATTTCATTCAAAGCTAAAATTTTTCCTTTCTGAATCTTTCTCAAAGCCAGCTCTTTTTTTTAGTCATTCTATAATATATCTAATCATTTTATCCAGTATACTCTTCACAAATGATTTTATCCTCAAAACACACACTTAATAATATCTCAAAACAACATTTCTAATTATTCATCTTCCCATGGTGTCTTCATCTTTAGCTCAAATCTTATTATCTTCACTTTAAATGAATGCATATTTATTGAAGCATTTAGATCTCTAATGCATAGCTTTAGTTGTTTTATACATCTCATTTTGATTTATTTATATATTGTCTATTATATTCATCATTAAAAATTATAGCATTTATTTGCTCAATAAAACACATTCAATAATTCCATAAAATATAACTTCTAATTTTCCATCTTCCCATAGTGCCATCATCTTTTGCTCAGATCCTATTATATTCACTTCAAATGCATATGTCTTGATTAAAGTATTTAGTTGTTTTCATATCTCATTTTCATTTTTTTCTAGTACTTAGTCTACCTCTACCATAATCATCATGAAAAATTATAGGACTTGTTTGATGAATATCTTATTTCCAAGACTTTAGCTTAACTATGATTATTATAAGCCATAATAGTATGCCTCTTTTTCCACTCTTTAAAAGCGCATCTATGTTCCTTGATAATTTTAAGTACCTCTGAACACCACCATTAAGTTCCTAAATAATGTACAAGCTATTTATAAACTATTCTAAGACTTCTAAGGCAATCATCTTATCTCACTTCAAGTTTTTCACAGCTGGAAAATTTCAATTTTACTCAACAACTAATTTTGAAATACTATTCTATATTGCATGGTTAATATTTTTTTCTAGAATCAAATGAAAATATTTGTGAAAATGTTTTTCTTTCCTTTAAAGCAAACGTAAGTTTATTTATGATTTCATAAATCTAATTAAAATAATTGATTATTTTTTCTCATTTTTTAAAGTAAGTGCTTGCTATTGAAAGATTATATGTTATTATAAAATTAAGTAGAACTTCTCATTTTCATTTCTCTATAGCGGTTTACAACTAATTTTTCACGACAATGCACAATGTCATCTGTCCAATGCTGTCACACCATCAATATTTTAAAATTATCTCAACATTAAAATCTAATACTATCTTGACATTGACACACGATGCCAACAATTTATATACCCACAAGCATGCCCCTGCGTCGTCTCGACATCTCATATTTATTCAAAATAATCTCAACATTAATGACCGACATTGACTCGACATGGAGGGCCAATGTTGTCTTGACATTGATGTCCGATGCACATTACACAACATTAATACTCGACTCTCGATAGCATTATCGTCTCCCCTCTCAATACTTAACACGTCATCTATGCATGACTCTCGACATCCTAATATTAATCATTTTAAGCACAAATCCTAATTAAATGACTTGTTATTTCTTAATTATTCTTAATATTCTGCTTATTCAATTTCTATACACTATTTTTTAAGATAAACAAATGATAATACCGTATTCAACCCATGTTTGTATCATATATTTTCAATAATTGATGTTTCATGTGTCTGTACCATGTCCATATCGTCGTGTCATTGTCTATGCATTATAGATCCTTAACATATAAATTGTAATACTTCATCCATCTCTTTCATGAATTTTTAAAAGTTCAACTACATCCTAGAACCATTGGTTTGCTGCATTGGGATTAAATTGAGGGACATCACTCGAATACATCCTAGTCACTACTTGCTTACATTTCTTCACAATTGGGTCAAATTATGGCACCCAAATAAAATATATAATTGCATATAAAATTCTCTAGGACTTCAAGTTTTAGGCCTACAAACTACGAATCAATAAATGATTCGTTAATGCATGCTTCATGAATAATTTTTTAACTAATTTTTCATGTGAGTTTCAACTACCCATTATCCCAAAGAATGAGGTATTAAATATAATGGGCAAGCCGTGCGGATCCCTAAAAAAAGACAGTTTCACTAAATAGAGAATAGCATAACAGTGTTTTCAATTTATGCCAAGTCACTACTGGCATAAATATCTTTGTAAGAATGCGCTCATTTGAATAATTTTATTGCAAATACAATCAACAGCAATCAAAATCTCATGCATTGTGCTTTATTCGTCGCTAATCCAGTAAAAATAAACAACAATAAGCATACCATATCGTGTGCGAGAAAAGTATAAACCACGCAACATCAAGCAAGATCGCGCAGAAAAGAAGCACTGCATAGGTGCGTCCAAGGTTCTGGCTACTGCTTTCAATAGCAACAAGTGCAAAGAGAGCGATCACCAAATTAATCAGCAGCACGCCATTGAACAACGCTCCCAGAGACCCCAACAATGAGCAACCAATCTGCACACCTACCATTTGTCAGAACAATGAAAATTAAATCGGTTAAAAAACTAGACCAATAACATCCAAAACACCGTCATTCAGTAAGATCAAGGACTCAAAACTACACAGGAAAATAAGTTTTCGCAGAACGGAACAATCCAAGCCAAAATCCAAATAGATAATTAGCGTCAAATTGGAATCCAAATTTACGCCCAATTCAAACCCCCGACGACAACACCGGATCAAAAACCAACGAAATGACACCCAGAACTGCCAGAAAAATACAAATCAAAGGGGCACGGCGAGATAAACCCTAGGGTTTCAAAGATGGAGGAGGCGAATCCGCTCACTTGGATGTAGATAAGGAAAACGGAAATTGATTGAATCCTGTCGTAATCCCGCAACCACGCTCGAATTTGCAGCCCCAGCGGCAGGGACAAACAGGGCATTATTGAAGAAACCCCGCAATTGCGTGAGAAAACTGAGCAGCAACGAAGGAACAAGCCAGTTGATGCCAAGGAGGAGGAAGAGATAAGGGAATCTCTCAGCTATACACTTTAAGAAGATTATAACCGATAAACAGAAGAAGAATTGATCGCGGCGGACGGGGCTTCGGGAGAGGGAGAGCACCTGCATTTTCCGCTACTTTTTCTCTATATAACAAATCTTCATCAGCCTTTTTTTTTTTTTTTTTTTCAAATTTGCAATCTTTTCTCGGAAATTACATAAAATTGTATTAGGATATTTTTATAAAATTGTAAGATTTGAGATTAATATAATAAAGTGTAAAAAAAAAATTTCAAAATATTATGAACTTTCAATTCATAATAATATGGGCCCCACCAATGGTAGAGCCTGGAGCCTACCTAATATATCCCTATTCCTGTAAAATGCAACTTAAAAATGAAATATTTAGGAAAAGAATGGTATGCTTCGATGCATGTATTTTTCTTGAGATTAGTGCCATACTTGATATCATCTGTAGCCTAAATGGCAATACGTAGTATTTAACTTGTATATGATTTATTAAATTTTGTAAATCTGGATTTAGTAAATCATGTTAAAATTAAATCTTGAAAATTGTTTGATAATTTAAGGGTTAAATCCTCTTAAATTCAATGGAGTTGTTCAACAATATAATCTGATTTAAAACGGTTATTTTTAACTTGGCGCTAGAAGTTAAGTTTCGTTGTCCGCTCTCCCTCTCTCCCATGCCCTGAAATCTTAAATCCGCTGAATCACAGGATTTAGAAAATCCAACATTTACCGTAAAAATGACAAGACAGAGGAATTATTCTGTCGTAACTTCCAACAGCACCATAAACCCTGTTTGATAGGATTTAGAATAAATCATGCTCAAATCAGACATAAATCTCGTTGTCAAACAGCCCCTAAGGATCACTAAACTCACTTTGTTGCAAGAAAATTCATCACCTAATTTAGGCTTCATTTGAGATAAATTTCTTAATGTTTTTTAAAACAGTTTTATAGTATAAAATTTTTTAATTCAAATAAATCTTATAATAAAAATTTGTTTTAAAAAACAGAATGAAAGTTCTCTCAAACAAAACCTTAGCGTTATAAAAAAATTTTTTTTTTGATATAACTATATCGATAGAACAATGTGATTGAGGACGATATTGATAGAATGTTATTGATAATAAAATATTTAAATATTTACCCCTTTAATAGAAGTGTGTTGTTATAATGATTTTACTTTGCCCTCCTCCTTTAGTGATGAGCATGAGACCTTTTAATATCTTTAATGAGGACTACTTGAAACATGCAAATTAAAATTAACTGTGCCATAATGGTTAGGAAATAATAGGAATGATAAAGTAGGTGTTGAGAAAGGCAATTCATAACTATGATATAACTATGATTTTCTTTTTATTACAGCAAATAAAACAAAATTAAGATATTCCAACATAAATAAATTATTTTAATAGTGTGATCATATGCTCATCAAGTCACAACAAATATACACATTTCAGATATATATATAAATTCAAAAACTTTATAAAGAATAAAAAATGGAGTAGCATAAGAATTTCATGAAGAAAATAGATAGATTTAAGACTTTGCTTACGTTGAATAAGAGTTTAGCAAATTTTCTTTTATAGTAGGAGTAGGACACTGAGTACATTATAAAGTTGTGAAGATTATCTTTTTGTTTTAGAATGATGTCTTAATGAGCCATTATATTTATATTATTATTATTATTATTTATGGTTCATCTTATTGATGGCTAGAAAGGAGAGATCTTTTACACAAAAGGATGTTTCTACATTAATTGTAACTAGATTAATTGTAACATGCATTAAAATTTAGAATCATCTCTCAAATCACTTAACATATAGGAGTAGTAGAGTCAATTGAAATTTTTTGTTCTTTTTCTGGTCTATTTGGAACAACTACAATTTTTTTATAAATGTGATTATAAAATTATTATACTGAAAATAATTCTTTTGAAAGCTAATGTCGAAAGCAACTTCTAAGCACAAAAATTTTCTGAAAGCAGCTAAAATATAGTGGACAAACCGATATTATGATTGTAATTCAAAAAGAAAAACAGCAAGAAACTTGTTTGAAACGAAGCCTCAATAAGAATAATATATAGAGAGAAGTGAACTTGCTCTTAAATTTCTTTGTTATGTCAATCTAACAATCATATAATGGATTATTAGTGCATCAAATATTATATTATTTAAATGATCAATTTTTTTATGAAAACACATTGTTATAAACTTGTACTATTATATATTTATTTGTTTTCAGATTGTTATAAACGTGCATTATGACTATGTTAGAATAATAAACAAACAAGTTGGGGGGATGACAGGAATAAAGCCCAATAGGCCCAAATGTTCATCGGCTTACCTGAAATATACTTATGAAAATATTTAAAAATTATATCTTAGTTCCTTATATCAAATAAATATTTCTTACTTTGCTCGCTTATTTCTCATTCTTATTACCATTTTATTATATTAATTATTTGAGTTATAATCATTTTCACTCTTTTATAATGAATGAGTTGGCGACTTGAGTCGACTCAAACTCGCACAATTAAACTTGAATTTGAACTGAAACTAGATTATTTAAGCAAGCCCAAAATCAAATCAAGAGTGGCTTGAGTTCCACTCAACTCATGTACAGTTCTAAAAATGATTATTGAAATTTTTTTTGTTTTGAAATTCTAGTGGTAGGTCTCTCATATTCTTAATATATTCTAGATAGATTTTTTCATGTTTTGTTTAGGACAACTTAGATTTTATTTGGGACAGCTTTTGACCACTATTTTTTCTCCATTTTTATGAAATTTTGTACAAAAAAGTTGTTTTAAAAAATATTAAGAAAAATGTCTCTAATGGGAACTTGGATTTAGGTTTCAATTGAGACAATTTTTTTACTGCTTCTTAAAGCAGCTTTTTAGTATAAAAAATTTATTTTTTAAGCTAAAAATCTCTTTTAAGAAGCAATAAAAAAGCCGTCCCAAATGAAACCTTAGTTTGGAACTGCTTTTTTACTGCTTCTTAAAACAATTTTTAAATACAAAAATTAAAATTTTGGTACGAGAAAACTACTTTATGAAGCAGTAAGAAAATTGCCCCGAACAAAAACTTAGGCTTTGTTTGGGACGGCTTTTTTATTGCTTTCTAAAATGGAGTTTTAAAACAAAAATAAAAAAATTTGTACTAAAACTCCGTTTTAGAAAGCAATAAAAAAGCCGTCCCAAACGAACCCTTAGGCTGTGTTTGGGACAACTTTCTTATTGCTTCTTAAAGCAGCTTTCAAGTATAAAAATTAAAAATTTTAACTAAAAAATTATTTTAAGAAGTAATAAAAAAATCATCCCAAACAAAGACTCAGTAAAAGAGTGTTTTTTTTTTTCATCGTTAAATCTCTTAAAAAGCTATTTTCTAACCTTATTTTATATTTGCTTTCTTAAAACAGTTTTATAAATAAACTCTGAGAAAGTAGAAAACATTTATTCAATTTTTTTCATTTCAACAGAAATATTTTCCCTTAATAACGATGCACTGAAAAATATAAATAAAAATTATTCCAAACTTTAAAAAATGCCGTCCATTTTTATTAAATTTTTATTGATCCATTTAATAAAAAATTTACATCACATAAATTTTTTTTTAAACAACATAACATTTTGATCATTTTTTTTTTTTGCTTTTCCATACAAAACAGCAAAAAAGTCACCTAATCTCTTTAAATAACAAAATGACAAAAAATATCCAATTGGAATTACTATTAAAATTTTCCCAAAAAAATAAAAATAAAAATTGTTCTTTGTCACATTCTGCTTCCTTTCCTAATTACCTAATTACTTTAGCAACGGTAGGATGTTCTGACATCAGAATGCACGAATCTCTTCACAAATTAGATAGACGAGAATTCAAAAGACCATGATGAAGTTGCTACTAAAGTCTTAACTAAAAATAAATTATATAATCAGCAAGAAATAATAAAACTATGATTTTATAACATTAAAAAACTTCAGTATTTTATTCATGGATTTTACAAGTAAAGTATCCCATCATTTCCTAAACTAAAGAACTGTTTGGAACTGTGAAACTGATTAAATTATTTTGTTCGACGAACGGGAAAGTCGTCCAATTTTTCCTTTGTAAACAGAAAAAATACAGCATGAACAGTAAAAATGCAGCTCACTGCACTTTTACTATTCATAAAGACAAAACTGGATGAATCTTCCCGTCCGGTGACCACTCAGAATAATCTTTCCTGAATCTGATGCAATATTTTATATAAGTGATTGTAAAGTTATTATTAAAAAATATTTTTTAAAAGCTATTATGAATATTATAAATAAGTTATTTAAAAAAAAATAAGTTGTTTCTTTAAAGTTACAAAAACTTAACAATTCTTATAATAAAAAGCAATTTTTCATCATAAAAATTTATTGATCATAAAAAAAAAGTAACTATTGGAAAGGTTACAGTATTTTATAAAATTGATTATCAAGTTATTGTGGATAAAAAAACTTTGTCATTATTATTGCATAAAACAGTTTTTCACCTACAAATTTCTAAAAAATGATATTAAGCAGCAAAAAATAGTGGTTATTATCTAAAAAGCAAAGCAACCATAAAGCTATCCCAAACATACTGTAAATGAAACTATGACTTTGTTTGGGACGACTTTTTTATTACTTTTTAAATCAGAATTTTAGTAAAAAATTAAAATAGGAAAAATGGGGTCCCAAACAAGCTCTAAAATTATAGTTTGACAAAAAGCGAACTATTTATGTTTTACAATTTTAAATAAAAAAACAAATCAAATAGTCCACACACAAACACAAAAAATCATATTATTTCATTGTAATCAAACTGAAGAAATCAACTTTAATTATGTACCATTTAATTTTATTTAATTGTGTATCATTTAAATTAAATAATAGAATAAAAAAGCTGTATAGGGCTTCAAAAAGTTTGGAGTTGAGAAGAACTGAAATAAAATTATTTTCATTCAAAATTATCCAAATAAATTTTGAGGATTAATGGGAATGAGATTTGAAGATTAAGGCCATCAGAACCCCCACTCCATTTGTCGAAAAAGAAATTTTGAGATATTTAAAAAGAATATAGTCCAAATAATCTATGATAAAATTTAATTCTTGATGCAATT